AAAAGCAGTGCCGTTCTAGGTGTCAGCTTGCTTTCTTTTTTTTAATCATTTTATTTTTCAATTATAGTGTGTATTCAACACTATTTTTTTTAATGTTTTCAGTGATTTTAGGAAGGAGAAGGATAGAGAGAGAGAAACATCCATGAGTGAGAAACATCATAGATCAGCTACCCCTTGTATGCCCCTGCTAGGGATCAAGCCCACAACCCAGGCATGTGCCCTGACTGGGAATCAGACCCTTGACCTCTTAGTTCCTGGGTCGAAGCTCAACTGCTGAGCCACACTGGCCGGGCTGTTAGCTGTCTTCATTGCAGTCTTTCATGAAGAGATGAAGGAGAGAAATTCAGAGGCTTGATTTGCTCGTAAGATGCATAGAGAGACTCTGCCTGCCCGGTGCAGCCTTGTCCGTCTGAACAGATGACAGAGGGCCCGCGGTGCCTCAGCCTCCCACACACCGAGCTGGGAAAGCCCGCCGGGCTGGTTCGAATATGTGCACAGAACGTTCTGTGGGAAGGGCGGTGCTGAGAGTTGGGTGTTGGGGACCAGGTTGTTTCAGAATACTCTGGCAGCAGTTTCCAACCTTTTTTGTCTCATGGCATACATAAACCAATTCTGTGGCACACCAAAATATATATATTCTATTTTTTGCCAATCTCACACACACACAAAAACAGATATAATTTTGATTCATTCACAACAGATGGCTATTGTGTTGGCTGCTGTCATTTTTTTATTTGATAATCTAAGGGAAAGGAGGTCCGTGCCCCTGACTAAATAGCCGGGTATTGTGTGTTTTGAAAATTCTTGCTGCTCTATGGTAACCGGCGTCAAAGCACACATTCCTGACCTAAATGCACTCGGAAGCCGTTTCATTTTGACAGTCTGACTCCTTAAGTTCCCCTGAATTTAGGCAACAAACACCAGCCAGAGTGGGTCTTGTGGGCCCCGTTTGATAAAGGAACATGGAAGTCTTACTTTCTGAATGGCAGAGAGAGAGCCTTTGTAGCATTGTACTTGGAATGCATTCCCATCAGAGATGATCATTTTAGCAGCAGTGACTCATGTTGTTGCCGTCCTGGTAAGATTGCGTTTTCTCCACCGTGAAATGCACAGTGTAGAGAGGGCTACTCACAACCCTTAACTGAAAATGACAGGGTCCGGGGAGGGCCCTGCCGAGCTGTTGTTTTGATAGCTTGCACAACAATGAAGAAATATTCCCTCTTGCTAAGAAACCATTTAGAAATAAGCTGTTAACATTTCAATTTAATAGATGGGTATTCCAGAAACTTACCCTTTCGGGCAGTTTTTGCTCTTAACATGAGGAGCAGGCATGTAGGTTACTGAGCGCTGACCCAGGCCTGGGAGGAAATGCCTCGGGCTGGGCACCACGTGCCTGCAGTGTGGGGAGCACCCGTCTGTGCCAGGATCTGGCAGAGACACGCGACTGTGGCACCGGGGAGCCACGTCCCTGCAGCCCCAGCGCCAAAAGCGATCGCTCTGCTTTGTTTATGTTTTTAACAAGCTTTCCCAAGAACATTCTGTTTGGATCTTTTGTAATCCACCTAAAAATCCTCTAAGCTGTGTCCCAACCTCATTATACACTGAGACGAAATTCTAATACAGAGGGCCAGATTTTAGAGCCTGCTGGGAAGTCTGTCACTAAAAACCTACCGACAATCTAAAGATTATCTGGAAGAAGCAGTGATGAGCAGGTTGGAAATGGGAAGATGGTAGGAGGTGACCAACCCCCAGGACGAGTCTTGTAGGAACAAGTGAACAGGTTGCATAAAGACAGTAAAGTAATTAGAAATGAGTAACTAACCCTGTTTAAAGAATGTGGGCTTTATATTTTCCTGGGGCCCTCACGACCCCTAAGTCTCAGTTTGATTAGATACCAGACAGACAACCTTTTTCAACAAAATTCCCGGACAAGCAAGCTGAGGCTACATTTGCTTTTGGAGGAAACTCGTTAAAGGAGAGTCGGGGACGCTTTGTGCCCTTTCTGTCCAGCTCACACGCACACGCAGTAGCTCTGGGCCATGCGTGGCCTCCGTCAGCCCGTGGTCCTGATCCAGGAGACCCAGCCGCCCTGGGTGTGCGAGGGGCTGGGTCCTTTCCGCCCACCCCTGCCCCCTGCCCTGGGGTTTTGCTTGGCAGTAGCTCCTTTACTTCTATGTAGAGTCTTTGGAGAGAAGGGGATTAAAATGTTTCTAGAACCACCTGGGCTCACGCAGGGGGGGACGGGGGGGGGGCGGGGGGAGAGGGTGCAGGTGGAATCAGGTAAACCTGGGCTGAAACCCAGCCCACGTGTCTAACCCTGGGGAGATGGTGAACAGTGGACTTCATCTCTTTCCTCCTTTCCCTGCCTGCCTGGGAGACAGTGGAGGCAGGGAATTAACAGCCTTCTCTGTCCCCTGGGCCTCGGACGGTTCCTGAGCCCAGGGCTTCAGTCTTTAGCTGACCTGAACTTACATAAAAGGAGGTGATAGTACTTCTCTTGCACAGTTGCCTGTGAGAATTAAAAATGTTCAATGCCTGGCCCCTATAGGCCTCCCAGTGACGATCATCTTCTGGAAGTTATTCCCTGTGATAACATAAACCCTGGTGTTGTCTTCCTAGTGGTCCAGAGAAGAGGGGGCTCCAATTTTAAGAACGTCCCCCTCTACAAGAGCTGGGCCCGGGTGCCCTAGGGCTCCGCAGGGCTTGGCACCCGCACTGTCCAGCCTCCGGGGTCGGTGACCTGACTGGGGATCTGTCGCAGGCCTGTCTGCTAAGAACCTGCTGGTGAGGCAGGCTCGGCTCCCAGGGCTTCCATCCGCTGGCCTCCCATTAGCGCTGTCAGCCCTGGGCTGGGAGGCAGTGGTATCCAGAGAAAGCCGCCCGTCAGGAATGTTCCTCTCCTTAGCCCTTGGCCCTTGCCTGCACCTCCATCCTCTGGGCGAGAGCCCCAAGCCCCGACCCCGGGGTGTGTGTGTGGGGGGGGGGGGGGGTGAAGGGAAACCACTGCCAGAGTGCCAGAGTCCATGCCACAGCCACGTTCCCACGGGGCAGGGCGCCCAGCAGTGAGGCCGCTCCTGGCAAGCCCGGCTCACACAGGAAACCAGACCCGAGGCTCCCCCCTGGGACCTTGGCAGGGAACGCTCCCCTCGCTAACTAATCAGTGTGTCCCTGTCACCGAGGTTTACACAACTGGAGCTGGGCTGGAAAGGGAGACGTGTGTCTGGCTCCAGCTCCGCGCTAGAGGGAAGCGCTCAGCTTGGTCGGAGTGGGAAAGATTAAAAATAACTCCTCCATCTTGGTCCGGACTCTGCACCCCCTGTAACACCCATTCAACATCTGGCCTCCCGACCAGGCACCTTCTGATCCCAGAGCCCCCGCTGCCCCTGCGCGCACCCGCAGCCTGAGGGGCCGCCCTCCCGCGCCTGGGGCCTGCGTCCCAGCACACGGTCCCTTTTAGCAGGAACAGCGGAGGCTCGGCAGGGCGGTCACATAAAGCTGTTTGTGAGGCTGCCAAAGGACCACTTTGATTTATAAACTAGGAAAGTTTGCCACATCTGAATTCACAGTGAATGAGTTATTTCCCATATTTTGCTCCAAAAGAGCTTATTACATTCTCAATTCTAGTGTGAAAAATGAATTGCAGGGAAAATGTGTTATTTTTCCCAAATGTTGAAAGTGCCGTGTTGAAGGTCTCAGCAACCCTTCCCTTCGGTCCCCGCAGGCTGGGTGGTTGGATCCCTGGAAATCCTCGGCAGCCCGGCCAGCCTGGTGCGGAGCGTGGGCAACGGCATCGCCGACTTCTTCCGGCTCCCGTACGAGGGGCTGACCCGCGGCCCCGGCGCCTTCGTGAGTGGCGTCTCCCGTGGGACCACGTCCTTTGTGAAGCACATTTCCAAAGGTAGCTATTTCGGTCCCTCGTGATAATGCCTATTTCATTCCTTCCTGACTTTTCTCTTTTTAAAGAACGTGTTAAAGCTTCAGTGTTGCCTCTTGCTTTGTTTGGCGTGTTGGCTTGCAGTGAAACGCTGGGTCTGTGACAAAGCTCGTAGATGAGCTCTGATGTGTTAAGCAGATCACTGCGTGCCTGTGCAGTGTGAGAATCTCAGAAACCTCGAATGTGAAGCCGTTCACTGGGGAAGCATGCACTGGCTCAGCGGCTCTCCCATGTGATAAATGCAGAAATGTTAAAGGTGCTCGGACTTCTGCTAAACATCAGAAACCCTACACTCTGTTGCCTCATCATATTTTTTTTAATGTAGATACAGTTGTCATAACTTTTGTGAGGCTATGGATACATTTTGACAGGGAAGCCGGTGGGGAGTGAAACCGCGCGCACAGTGCCATCTGGTGGCTGCACGGGCCGCCAGGAGCAGAAGCCCAGCTGCCTGCCCCCTGGACAAGGGCCGTGTTTCCCTGGTTTCCGCGTTTGCTTGACGACATTTTGGTCAGGTTGGCAGGAACTCAGGAGCTAACAAGAACCATCTGAGTCCCCATTCTTCTCAGCAGGAGGCAGGGAAGAGGGGCGAAGGGCTTCTCCCCAGTGAGGCCTTTTACTGTCAACAGCACGGCACCTGGGTAATGGACAAAGGCAGGGCCACTCCCCCGCCCAGTCACCCAGGAGGCCTGGGAGCAGAGCTGCCAGCGCTCACAGATGAGTCACTGGTAGACTTCTCACCCGTGACACTTAGATCTTTGTGGTTCTGTTGTTTGTATTTTAAAATAAGACAACCAACACCTGCTAAATTGAAGTCCACCGGTAATTTTAACATCTGGCTCACTGCATGTTTTTACACTGGCTCTCTCCTCTTCGCAAACCCGTGCGGTGTATTGGGATCTGTGTGCACGCATGTATCTTCTTTATTTTCAGATTACTGGTAAAGATGCAACTGCAAGAATGACACTTCCCATCTCTTCTTAAAACCTGACATCCTAACAGATGAGCTAATTCATTAGCTTCAGAAATGTGGCCATTGATGTCTTTCAGTTTTGCTCATGGGGATCGATGCAGACTTGCTAGAAAGGATGCTGAATATTTTGAGTAAGATGCTGAAATAGCCTTTCTTAGGAAAAAAACAGGATCATGGCTTCACGTGATTCGCTTCCTTTGTTGTCCTCACATTTTTCATTGAACATCCTGAATATCAAAACTGCACATGTTCTCTGCGGCACAATAATCATTTCCTCCAAAATGTCAAATAATAAGGAGGGAATAATTTTTAGTCCAAAAGTGGAAACATCTCTTTGCAGTCTGTCAAAAATTCAGCAACTAACCTCAACCTTTAAAATCAGAGCAGGCAGCCCTAGCCGATTTGGCTCGGTGGATAGAGCATCGGCCCTCAAACTGAAGGGTTGAGGGTTTGATTCAGGTCAAGAGCAGGTACCTTGGTTGCAGGCTCAATTCCGCGTGGGAGGCAACCAATCAATGTGTCTCACATCAGTGTTTCTCTCTCTCCCTCTCCCTTCACTCTCTCTAAAAAATTAATGGAGCCCAGCCCAGCTTGCATGGCTCAGTGGTTGAGCATTGACCTATGAACCAGGAAGTCTGGTTTGATTCCCAGTCAGGGCACATACCTGGTTTGTGGGCTCGATCACCAGTAGGGGGCGTGCAGGAGGCAGCCGATCAATGATTCTCTCTCATCATTGATGTTTCTCTCTCTCTCTCTCCCCCCCCCCCTTCCTCTCTGCAATCAATAAAAAAATAAATAGTCAATGGAAAATGTCTTCGGGTGTGGATTAACAATAAAATAAAATCAGAGTAGACAGATTTTAACCTTCAAAACTGGGCCTCAGTGAGGACTTCAAAACCAACTGTTTGTTTTTTACTGTTTTTATTGATTTTTTTGAGAAAGGAAGTAAGAGGGAGAGAGAAATAGAAACATCGATGAGAGAGAAACATCAGCATCCATGGGCTTGTCTCCTGCACGCACCACACTGGGGATCGAGCCCGCAACCCGGGCATGTGCCCTGACCAGGAATGGAACTGTGACCTCCTAAAACCAACTGTTTTAGCCAAGCCTTGACAATCAAATGGTAGTGAGCCCAGTTCCATGTGAAACTCCAGGCACTTTTCTGGTAACAGACTCTTACCCTACCCCTCTGAGGAGAGCCATCATCGGCACAGGCAAGTGAAGCCACCATCACTCGCCCAGAGGGCACAGATGGGCTTCCACTGCCCTCTCAACTATCCCTCGGCCTCTGGGCACCTCTCCCATGTCCTCCATACATGACCAGGAGCCAACCCATGTGCTCTTGTGCCCTCAGGTACCCTCACCTCCATCACCAACCTGGCCACGAGCCTGGCCCGAAACATGGACCGGCTGTCCCTCGATGAGGAGCACTACAACCGGCAGGAGGAGTGGCGGCGACAGCTCCCGGAGAGCCTGGGCGAGGGGCTCCGGCTGGGCCTGTCCCGGCTGGGCATCAGCCTGCTCGGTAAGGGGTGCAGGGATGTGCGCGCCCGTCTGCCCTCTGGCTCTGCCGTGGGACATGGACTCCCAGGACAGGAGGTGGTTGGGAAGTTCACATCCTTTCTGTAGACCATCGGAGGCTCGGAGAGGATATGGCGCTCACCCCAGTTCCTGCCCTGAGTCAGTGAGGCTGTGGAACAGGACCCACGTGCCAGCACCAGGGTGAGGCTATGACAGGCCATCCTGTCTGACCAGAGGCTACCTGCTCCCTCAGCACCCCAGGCACTGCAGACACCTGCTCCCCCACCACCCAGACACCTGCTCCCCCACCACCCAGTCACCTGCTCCCCCACCACCCAGACACCTGCTTCCTCACCACCCAGACACCTGCTCCCTCAGCACCACTGTCGATGCCTGCTTTTGTTTTTTAAGCACTTGAGCAACTTGCAACTAACTGTCATGCGAACCTCAGGAGGAAGCCACTTTTTCCTTTTGTGTTTTTAAGAATGCCAGATCAGCCTGACTGGGGTGATTATCAGTTGTTGAGCAGCCAGATGGTATAGTTAGAGGTGAAGATTGCTCTTGAAATTTCCAAATTTTACAAATGTTTGATAAATAAGTTGCTTTGTAAAAATCTATAAAAAGGAAGCTTCAGAGCTGAACTTTTGCAGAGCAGGATTTTCAAGGGTATTTTCTGTTTGTTTGCAAAGGATTTTAAAACTGTGTTGCTTGGCAGCATGCCTGCCCAGCATCTGAAGAAGGTGCATCTCCTGAGATCAAAGTGCCCAGTGCAGAGAGAGCAAAGGTCAGCAAAGCTGGGCCTGAAGGGTCATCCTCTCCCCGGTCTGCCGGTGCAGACATCACCCCCAGCTCGCAGTGCAGCCACTGAGGCTCGGAGAGGGCGCAGTGAGGTGTTACAGGAGCAGCTAGGTTACTAGAAATTGTTCACGTCGGAACGTGCAGTGGTGCGCGGCAGTGTCATTGAATCATGTGGGAGCGGGGGGCTGGTGGCTGGGATGGGACTGCTGGGTAGAGGAGCAGCCCGGAGGCATGTGGGGAAGGGCAGTGGTGTGGGGTGGGCCACACTCCTTCTTTTGTACCTCAGACATGTGCTTATCTTCCCTGAGCCTGGGTTTCTCTGCTGTAAATCGGGGCTGGAAACACCATTATTAGAAGTCACGGGGGTCAGGCGTGTGCCCGCCCAGGGCCTGTGTTTGGTCATCAGAACCTGTCATGAAATCATGGCAGCAAAGGAACTGTACGAGTTGCTCAATTTCAGAGTGTCGGATGGGCAGTGGCAGGAGCCTTCTTGCTTTAGTTTTAGTCCAGTGGGTTCCAGTTGCTGTAACCACCGGAAATGACAACCTTGGGGGCTCAGGTCATGGTCTGGGGTCTGGGGGTCTCTTTTCGCTGAGACCTGTGGGCTCTGTGGCCCTGCTCTGGCAGGAGAGCTTCCTTCCCTCCGTCTGAGCCGGAGGAGCTCCAGGTGCTCCCGGAGGAGACCTGCGTGGCTGGCCTGTGGCCGCCTCTGTCCTAAGGCTCTTGTCCCCGAGAAGCAGCGCCACTACCACTCCCCACTGTAGGACGCTGTGCCTGGCGTAGACATCAGCTGTGGGAGGAGCCTGGATCTGCCTTGGCGATGTCGCCCTTGGGGCTTGGCTCGTGGTTGACCATAAAGCTTTGATCTCCACCTCGGTCTGTGTCCTGTACATCCTCCTCCATGCAAGGGAATCTTTTTGTCTGTGGGACCTGCAGTGGGCGCAGTTTTTCTGCATTTGTGGTAATTTCCAAAAACCTAGGTATTCTGGGGGTAACGTAGACCCTGCCCCACGTGTGCACCTGCAGATGCTGGCCTGGCCGGGGCCCAGGTGCTCCATGCCCACAGCACCCTGGGCTCCACGTCCTTGTCTGTGCTCCTCAGACATTTAGTTCACAGTGGGCATCTCAAGGTGGGCCCACACGGGCTCCCTTCCCTCTACGAGCGTAAGAACCCTCTGTGTCCCACATAACCTCAGTGTTAGCTCCAAACACCAGGTCCCAGAGGAAGACAGAGAGGCTAGGATTCTGGAAAGAATAGGACTGTCACCATTTAATCCATCCCCAGAAACGCGATTGCATACCTAATTGAAGCTAGAGCTGTTGTGATGTAGCAGTGACATCAGACCGCTAGTTCCTCAGTTTCTCCCTCTAATGACCCAGTGAGGAGAAAGGTATTTAAAGAACACTTCAGGGTTTCACATGTGTGGTCTTTGATCATCAAACCCCAGGCCTGAATGAGGTTCAGAGCTTGCCCAGGTCAAACCTCCAGCCAGGACAAGATCCCGGCCCCTCCACAATCACCCACCCCCAAGGGCTCCACGCCTGGGAACAGTCAGGATGTGGGGGGCCGGACCATCAGAAGTTCCAGGTAGGGAAAGCACATCCCCCAAATGTGTATGGGGTGGTGGGCCTTCCTGGCGCTGCTTCACCCTCATGGAGATGCTGTGCAGTGTATGAGGCACTTGAAAAATCAAAGGGAGTCTCTGGCCGCCGTGCCCAGCCACATCGCCTGAGGTCAACAAGAAGTGTCAGCCAGGAGAGATGCCACTGAGAGATGTGGCCAAGGCCCTGGACAAGCTCCACCACAGTTTTGGAAAAACAACTGCTCTGGAACAGGCTGTGTAGCCTGCAGAATTGGCATCGGGCTCGCCCACATGTACCAGACCTAGTCCCCAGACGCTCCACTTTCTACCCTCCCTGGAGTCTGTGCTGAGAGGACGTGGCTCCTTATCACCCTTACACTCTGCGTTCCCCCCGAGACGTGGCTTCTCGCTCGTGAGCACCATTGGCAGGACGTCAGAACTTGCGCCGACCCACGCTTCTTGGGCTGCTGCCTGACTTGTGAAGCATCACTGACCTCCCGGCAGCCACACCCTCTCTTCACCACCACTCCTGGGGTGCCATGTGGAACCCCAACAGAGCAGGCCTCCGCCAGGTGAGCAGGACACTTCCCTCCAGTGAGCGAGCCAAGAACTGTGCACCCAGGAGACGGCACCGGGTCATCTCTGACACCGTCCGCGCCAGCAGATGGGTTTGCAGGTGGGAGGGGTTCAGGAAGACGGTGCTTCCTTCTCAATGTGCTGACCTGAAGCTGGACTAGCCGATGCGCTGTTTGTCTCTGGAATGGTGAGCTGTGGAGGGGTGTCCCAGGTTCGGCCTGTACCTTTGCTTTTGCGATTTATTTTTAAAGTGCCCCAAATAGAATTACAATGTGTGGTAAAGACAGCACCAAAATAACCAGACAGGCAGGAATTTCATAGCTCAGGGACAGGGTTTATGGCCTGAGACGAGGAGCAAGTCCCAGAAGAGGTGCGGGAAGGCCTTCTAGTTCCCTGGCTTCAAAGAAAGCCTCCTCTCCCAGCAGAAGGTTAGAAGAGGAGACGCCTCCGCAGTCTCTGCCGTGGCCACACGGGGTCCGTGGACACGCCTCCAAGGTGCGCTTTTCCTCCTCGCCTCACTTCATCACCTCACAGCCGTCTCCAGGTGGCCGCCCACCCCACGGGCCTGGCGCCAAGGACAAGTTTGGGGCTCAGTTTCCACTACTTAAACCTCCGAGCAGTGTGAACATACGGCAGTAAATAACAGCAGTGGTGGGGTAGCTGGATCCTGCTAGTAGGAGCCTCTGAAGCCCTCAGGGAGGCTGCTTCCAGGCCCGGCCGCGGACACAGGAGTGACTGCCCATCGCTCGCAGCCTCTCTGTTCCCAGCTCGCACCTGGAGACCAGGGAGGTGTCGGTGTGCGTGCGTGACGGGCAGCTTCCTCCCGGCAGGGTCTGGTGCGGCAATGGCATGTGGTCTGACAGCCTCTCCTCTACCTCTGAGAACCTAACACCTTGTCATGGGCTACAGGCTTTCCACTCTCTCCAGAGGCCCAAATAGCTTATCTGTCAAAGCCATAGTAACGAGCCTTCACTTTGGCCGCTGGCTGGAGGAAGCTAAGATCAAAGGGGAGTTTCACTGTGATACCTGTTTGCACTCAGGCAGGTGGGAGTTGGAGCCCCTGTGGTGGACAGCCACGCCCCCAAGGCCCACTACCGGTTAGGCCTGCACATTAAAGGGAAATGGGAGATGCTCACCAAAACAACCGCCAGCCCTCCAACTCGGTTGTAATAGGCTTATGGGACTCTGCACTTGAGAATAGACATTTCTACCAGAAATGCAGGCAAGAATTTAATTGATTGATGGGTTTGTAATTATTTGCCCCAGTTTTCCTCCTCTTTTATTTTTCCATCACCATTTATCCCCTCTATGCCCACTTCCACCTCCCCCTGCTCCCCCCGACACACAGTCACCACACTCAGAGACCTGTCAGAATCCGATGATGAAATCACAGGAGCCGTGGTCACTGGCTTCGAGCTAACCATTGTGAACTGTCTGCTATGAAATGAGCTGACGACCAGGCCTCTCCCGCACGCTGCAGGCAGCCGTCACCTCCACTGTGGCCGGTCCACTAACACTCCCAGCTGCTCTGACTCCTGACCTCAGAGTGGGGAGCAGAGCATCGGATCCTCCGACTGGAAATGTGAGGCGGGCTCCCGGCTCGGTGCCAGGATTGGGTGTCACTGAAACAGTGATCCTTCCACCTTCCATCGCCAGAGCCGAGGGCCAGCTGCGAGCTGCTCCCCCGCTTCCGGCATCATTTCTGTAGACGGTTTGAGCAGCATTGGTCGAGGCTGGAAACAGACCCGTCGCCTCAGGTCATTCTTAATCTGTCAGGACATAAACTTAAATGGCTCTGTCAAAACTGAGAGGAATGGAATCCTTGAAGCACATTCCCTTTACAATTGACCCGCAGAACTGGCCTTTGGTTTTACTGGATTTTGTTCCATGGAATATTGCTTGAAATTAGCAGGTCATTAACTGAGACCTGGAAACCTCCGTTTCCCAAGAGACCTGGAATTAGTGGCATTTGGAATAATGGGATTTGACATGTACTAAAGTTTCTACAGGGGGACTGTGCATTTTCATTAATCCTAGCAGGTTTGAGTTGAAAACAGAATTCTGTCAAGAATTGGAGTGAAATTTTTACCTCTTACTGAGTTAGGGAACCCTCCACTCCATTACGGAAAAAAACTGGACTGGTGAGGCCTTTGCTAGATCGCATCATTGGCCCCTCAAAGTAAGAGCAGGGGAACAAACCACCCCATGGGAAAGCCGTCAGAGCGGAGAGCAGAGCGGGAGCAGGTTTTGTAGCTGCTCTAAAGGGAAGAGGCCTGCCAGTGTGGCACAGTGGCTAGCAAACTTTACCATAGGCTGCTTGACATAAAGGAGAAGTTTCTATGGCGTCTCATCAGCATTACAAAGAAATGACTATTCGAAGACCTGCTGTATTATACTTCTCGTGATTTTAGTGTGTACACTATATAAAAGAAAGTTGGCTGGAAAACAGCATCCGTGTTACAACAGCAACAGCCTCATACAGCTCAGGTTCACCACATCTCTTCTTTGCATCACTTTCTCTTATGCTTGATTTCATCATGTTGTTTCGTACAGTAACGTGCTGTGCGGACTGGTGGCCCAGGAGCTGTAGGCTACACTATGTAGCCCAGGTGTGTAGTACCATCCAGGTTTAGAAGTGCACTCCATGATATCTGAACAATGACAAGATCATCCTGTGATGCAGTTCTCAGAACATATCCCCATCGTTAAGCTGCATATGACCTAGCTAACCTGAGTGCTTAATCTGTGCTGGGAGACTGTGCTTATATGAAATCATTCATCCAAATAGTCCTAGGATTCAGGCATGGTTCTTACCCTTACTTCCTGGATCAGGCCACTGAGAGGTTAAGGAGTTTTCCCCAAGGTCACACAGCTGTCCCATGCTTGAGGCAGGATTTTGGGTCTTGGGTCACTGCCTCCCCCTTAACCACCAAGCTGTTCACTGATCCTGTTTATGAAACAGTCTCTTCCTTTGCTAGTCTTGGAAAAAACTTCTCTCTCACTTCAACTGAGGTTTGGCCACTTTTCACTTTATTTATTTATATATTTTTTTAGTATATTTTTATTGATTTCAGAGAGGAAGGGAGAGGGAAAGAGAAACAGCAGTGACAAGAGAGAATCATTGATCAGCTGCCTCCTGCAGGCCCCTGACCAAGAATAGAATTGGCAATCTTTCGGCGCACGGGACAACACTCAACCAGCTGAGCCACACCGGCCAGGGCCCATTATAATCTTACGGGACTACCATTACTTATGCAGAACTGTGTAATGGAAATTATTATATCAACAACTACTCTTTAAATAATTATTAACACATTAAGTTATTAATTAATAATTGCTCTAATTAAAAGGGACAACATGGAGAGGAACTGAGCCTTCCAGTTGTTTTCATCTTCCTGTTCATTGAAAATTAGGCTGAGCAGGCTTTCTCTTCCCTAAACTATGTTGCCTGCTTTCTGGAGAAAGGCAATGAGGGGAGGAAAAGGGGGGTCACTTTGGAATAGTCTGGCATGTTCACTAAATTCTGAACTGAACTTCACAGATCCTGACTATAATGGACCAAACCCAGTCTGAACATTGTATTCTGTTGAGACAATAAATGTCTAACTTGAACTGCCCTCAGTGCATGTAGGTGGTTGGTAAATAAATGTAAAGAACTTTATAACGAGGGTGGGCTTTCATTGTCAATCCAAAATGTGACTGTGTTCCTGATGGAAGGTTTTCCCTTTCTCAAGATGCTAAGCCTCAGCCCTTACTGGGCGTTTGTTGTGTTTCAGGTGCAATTGCTGGCATAGTCGATCAGCCAATGCAGAACTTCCAGAGAACATCCGATGCTCAGGCTTCAGCAGGACACAAGGCCAAGGGCGTGATCTCAGGCATGGGGAAAGGAATCATGGGGGTGTTCACAAAACCCATCGGAGGCGCTGCCGAGCTCGTGTCGCAGACCGGCTACGGTGAGTGAGGGGAAGCCTGGCGGGCCGGCTCAGACACGGCCAATTAACCTCTGTTGTTCTACCAGGAGTCCCTGAGATACCCTCGCCCGCACATGGCAGAGGAGTGAGAAGTGATAAATCAGCAGTTAAATAGTTCTCTTCCTCACCTCCTTATGCTTGTTTACATGAAGAGTAGAACTGTATGACTAATAATAAATTGTAATAAAATTATACAACCAGAAATCAATTAGCAATTTCAGTACTTCACCATATTACCCTCGACCTCTAATTGGTTACTTTTCATTAAAGTCTGTGCCATATGCATGGCACAGAGTCTTTTAACAATCCATTTAATAAAGTAGACTTTAATGAAAAGTAACCAATTAGAGATTGAGGACAATATGATTACAATTATTATTTTTCTGGTGAGCAATTCGAAAGGAAAAATAGATTATGAGGCAGAAAGATATCTTTATATTACAATGTACATGCATTTGGAGAATGAGAGAGGAGCATGTGTGTGTGTGCGCACACTTGCCCACAGAGCTTTGCACTTGGCATGGCTTTCTCACCCACAGACTCCATGCTGCACTGCAGCCAGGCCGAGTGTCCTAGCCAATGGCAGCGAAGGTGTATGAGCTGCAATGAAAACCCTTTCCCCAAGCAGACAGCCTGGAGACCTTGGGATCGTGGCACTGCTTGCACGGGGCTCCCATGCATGCGGGTGCACATGGGAGTACCGTGTATGGGAAAGGAAGCACGCCATCCCATGCTTATGTTCTGCATTCTTGACAGAGCACATGGAAGTGACTTTTAAAAAACAGGTGACCAGAATTGTCATCTTTTTACCCAAAAATCAGTGTCATCATTTTGGTGGTGAAGTGGGCTGTCTCATTAGTATCACAAACTACAGGAGGGCTCTGTCATTTGCCAGACAGGTGAGCGCTCTGCATCTGGCCAGTCTGGCGGGGGGCTGGGGGGACACTTCACTGCAGACATCCTGCACTCAGTAGATCTGATCTGACAAGAGGCAGCCAGATCAGAGCATAAAAACCCTGTCTGAAAGGAAGAGAGAGCAGACGAATGCCCACACTCGGGCAGCCAAGGGAGAGGCTCCTTTGAGAGACCACACAGACACAAACATGTGCTCCTCTTCCTTCTCCCCTGCCTCCTCCCTCTATTCTCTTCCTGTGAATGACATTTTCACTCACAAGGAAACTGTCAGGAAGAACTGCTGCAAGTCCTCAGTGGATGAAGTCAGATACTCCCTTTTTCTCGTGAGGAAAAGACAACTTATACTTCATAAGTTCCTTTGGTTTAAAAATGCCATTGGCCCTCACCGTGTGTCCCAGGGCTGAGGGCTCTCCCTTATGTAAGAGCATCTCAGAGCAGAGCCTCACATGGCCTCGTTGGTTTCCATCATCCTGTAAAACTTTTATTACCGCACTGAAGGTTTTACAAACCACTAACTCTTAGTCTAATGACTGCCTCGCTTATAAACATTTCCCAGCCCTGAGAGCACACAGGCTGTACCATCGTTGGCTCTGGAGTCTCTGGAGGCCTACATGGCTGCTGCTGGGTGCCCTGGTTGGGTGCTGGCACCAGGGGAGCGTGTTAAAAACCGGAGCGCTCATAAATGTATGTGGATTCATGCTTAAGAGCTGGATTAAGTCACTTAGGGACTATCTAGACAAACCATGTGCCTTTGTGTGCATCTCCGTTGTTTTTTACTATTTAACCAGCCACAGCAGATACAGCTGTATTATTAAGCAACAAAGTCAACTAACAATCTTGACTTGATCACATAAATTGTAAATGATGTGCGAGCCGTTGCTCAGGACCCATTACTCCCAGGAGCATCACGCTCCCTCTAATTGCAGTCTATGCTTAGACTGCAGCTCATTCAGACTTCAGTTTGTAGCTAATGTAAGATCACCAGGGTTAAGAGCATTGCAGTGTTTAATGATTATCTATTCACTTGCTTCCAAAGATGTGACATCATGTTGGATCTGCAGCATTTTATGATGGCTCTTAGCAGATGACATCACTGTAGCATGGAACTGTTTTCCAGAAAACAACTAGTAAAACTTCCTTCCTTCTCTTACCGCAGGCATTTTACACGGAGCTGGACTTTCTCAGCTTCCCAAACAGCGCTACCAGCCAAGTGATCTACATGCTGCCCAGGCTCCAAACAGCCACGTCAAATACGTCTGGTAAAATCCTCTAGATGCTCGCTCGACTGCACATGTGCACTGGGTTCACAGGGCCTGGCTCGATCTCAGGCTAACGGGAGCCACGCAGGAGCAGTTGTTTTCAGCATCTCAGGCAGCACAAGGGCATCCTGGAGCCAGAGGGAGGCCGCTGACCCAGATCTGGGTCTCCCACCCAGGAGGATGCCCCTGGCTTGGGAGAGGGCCTGAGGTTTCCTAGGGAACGAGCCTTGTCATTAGGGATGGCATCTCTAATGGGAAGGGAAAGAACTCAACAGAGCCCAGCTGGGCTCTGTTGACCAGAATCACTTTGAGAACTAAAGTGACAGTTCTATTTCAAGATCAAATGAATAAACCCTTGGGGAGGTCGCATCTGGTCCCAACCCTGGTACAGTGAGCATGGGTATTGACTGTTTTCTCCTTTGGAACAGGAAAATGCTTCAGTCTCTGGGCAGACCTGAAGTCCACATGGCCCTGGATGTGGTTCTGGTGAGGGGCTCTGGCCAGGAGCACGAAGGGTGCCTGCTGCTGACGTCGGAAGTGCTGTTCGTGGTGAGTGTCAGCGAGGACACGCAGCAGCAGGCCTTCCCCGTCACGGAGATCGACTGTGCACAGGACAGCACGCAAAACAACCTGCTCATCCTACAGCTCAAGCAGCCAAGAGCGGCCTGTGATGTGGAGGTACAGTCCAGAAAACGGGGACCAGGGCTACCTACCAGCGAAGTCAAGATGTGGGCTGACGCTGGTACTGCTGGAGTTCAGGAGGGAGTGTGGGGGGAAGGGGGAGGGGAGTCACCCAGGTGTACATGTGAGAGCCCAGCAGCAGGTCCAGGGGATTCCCAGCCTGGGGCTAAGCCACCAGATGACGAACAAGGCTTGGTGGTCATGGGCTGGAGTGCAGGAGTGGACAGGCCAGGACAACAGACTCCAAAATGAGCAGGTCTGTGTAAGGAACAGGACCAAGGCAGCGATGCCATGCACTTACACTGTGAAACAGGCCCCTGTGCATGGTCTGGGCGGCTGCAGCAGGTCTGTAGCAGGGGAGGACCGCTGAAGAATTGTGGGATGTCATGAGTGAAACCAGGCATGGGCAGTAGGCCAGACCTTAGCAAGTTCAAAACCAGGAGGTCTGACTCACTCCCCCATTCCTAAGACTTGAGAGGTCAAAATTTTATAAACCACCATCTCTCTCCCATCTGCTCTGTACCCTATGTGGCTGTGTCCCCTTCCCCATAGGATAGTTTCCCACCCCATAAGTCCCCTGGGTACCTCCTAGGGATTCTGCTTAGGCTCTTGGGGCAGCTTCCTGGCCACCCAGCTCCTAAGATGTGCTGGTTGTTGACTCCTGGCCACACAAAGTCGATGGCAATGGAATACGGAGCGTCAGGAATGAAACCTGACAAGAGTGGCACAGCTTCCTGCAACCCAGCCTGGGGAGCAGGTACGCCCACTGGAAAGCTGCTCTCTGCCCGCCACCCCGCTTAATGCCTGACGCACAGGACCCTCGACCCTCCCTAAGAGTCGACCTCAGAAACACTTTACCCACATGGCAAGATGAGGGCAATATGGAGCTGGCTAGTCCTAACCAGGGAAAGGACAGTAGTCCCAGGAAAGGACAGCAAACTTGCCTCTAGCAGATCCTAATTCCTTCTTTCCTTTTCTGCTGGTATGGGAGCCTGTCCCCCCACACCACTGCTTGGGTAAAATTATGAGAGGTGGAAGGCGGCCAAGCACAACAACTGAGATTTCTCTAGTTTCTTGGATCACAATCAGTCAAGCTTTAAGCTAGGGCTTGGCACAAGGACTACATTGCTGCTTCAAGTTGATGACTTTCTGGGAATAAACAGAGGTCAGATGTCCAGGCTGACTTTATTAGATCTGCCAAAATCTTCTGATCTAGTTGACAATAAAGCATCAGTGATGTGGCTCCAGGATTTGGCAGGGGATAGCATCATTATCTTCAAGTCCTTGGTCGTTAGCAAGAAACTTCCAAGGCCCTGAGCAGTATTTGTGACCATCATTATTCCTTAACTGCTTGGGAAATATTTCAGACCCTAAACTATTGAGACTGGAGATTCATCTTTTGCTGTTAAATGGCCGCTACTTTAGTCAATTGTGATCCTTCTCGCTTATCTGTTTGTGAAGGGTACTGTAGGGAATGATCACAGCTGGGGGGAAACAAACCTGTTTCTCTATCCATGAGTGAGGTATCTGGATCACCACCCTTACAAGTTTCTAATGGAGACCATGGGATCAGAGTTAGAGGCAGAAGCACTGCCTCTGGACACCACGCTCTACACTGGTTTTTCTTTGATGTTCAGGGGTAACGAGGGTTGGGACTGAGGGATGGCTCAGCAGGCAGGGAAAGACAGAGCACGACTGCAGGGCAGCTGAGACAGACGGCAACATACACAGCGGCACCTGGCACTGGAGAGAGGGTGGATATGCAATATGCCGTCAGTCTCCAAATTCTGCTTTTTCATTACCTATTTCACTTCACCTCTCCCCTCATAAGAAACTGACCCCTTAGTCCTCTGTCCAAATCCTAACCTCCCCCAGTCACTCCCAAAGGAGATCCAAGCTGCAGACAAAATCCTTTTTTCTGAGTAAACCCTTCCTTGGGAGCGCTGTAATCCCACTACGTTCTAAATGGGAGGGGGCCCTCAGCGGTGCTGCTAGACCAGTGATGGCGAACCTATGACACGCATGTCAAAGGTGACACGCAAACTCATTTTTTTGGTTGATTTTTCTTTGTTAAATGGCATTTAAATATATAAATATCAAAAATTTAAGTCTTTGTTTTAGTATGGTTGCAAATATCAAAAAATTTCTATATGTGACATGGCACCAGAGTTAAGTTAGGGTTTTTCAAAATGCTCACACGCCGAGCTCAAAAGGTTCGCCATCACTGCCCTAGACACTAGGAAGCTCAGCTCCTTTGAATTTTAAAAGGAATTAATCTGTAGATGACATCATTCAGTATATTCAAATATGACAGGATTCAGATGCTTTTCTACAAGCAGCATTTGCTTTTCTTGGGTAAACGCAGCCATTTTTAGGGTAATAATTGCTTAATATGCCTGGCACATTACTGAAGTCCCGTATGAGAGGCTCAAAATGAGTCAGAAGGTCAATTTATTCCTTGGCCAGATTCCTTTCACAACACGGGCTTTCCTGTGCTGCTGTTCAGGAGGAGCAATTAAGACCTCTGTGTACTCAGAGCTTCCAGCGGAGTTCTGACCCCATCAAATGATATCAGCGCTCTGGCTTGTGCCTGGTGGTGCAGCTTTCATGTGTCAGTGAGTCTTTAGGGGCCTGTATTTTCCTTCCTAAGCTTAAAATGAGACCCAAACGCTAACAGTTACCCTACTCACTATTCTGGCAGGCCCCTTTCACTCTCTACCGACCCACTGGCTTTCTGTTTTAGACACCCTTGACTGTGTTTGTGCCCTGCACAGATATATACAATTCTTTACTACTTTGAGGACTAAAGAGCCCTCGTTTAAATGTTCCTAATTCTGCCAGAGTGGCCTCACCAACATTTAGCAGGTAAAGACCACTGAAAGGTCAGTGGCTACCTGTTCCCACAGACCAGCTAGTTTCAGGGTGGGAAGAATTAGAGCTCCAAGTGCCTTTGATGGATGCTTTCTCAGGAAATCTCACTTGAGGACTAGGTACTTACTGTATCTCAGTTCTACTTGAGTTCCACTGAAGATGAGCCAGACTTTTATGAATCATAAATGTACTTTGCATTCTCTTTTCCATAAAAATTTCCCCTTCCTCTGCCCAGTTTTATTTTCTCTGGCTTTAAATCCTAGTATTTATAAAAACAGTAAATGTTACGGTTCAAAGGTATTCTCTTAATGCTCTGTCCAAAGCCATTGGTTTGAAAGAGGGGCGCTTCCCCACTCCCCTGTCCAACTGAGATGGTTCTGTCTGAAGGCTGAGGAGACGGGCAAACAGCCTTCATGTCAGAGCTTTTACTGGTGAGGAGACTGTTTCCTGGGCTGGTTAGTAAAGAACAGGGACAGATGTTTAACCGTTGAGTAAAATGTTATGGTCAATTTGAAACATGGGAATTTTATATAACACCAAATGCTTATTCTAAGGAGGCTGTCTTTATATTTTCATGCAGAGCTTTTGTTACACTGCTGAAATCGCAGTATAATCGTCACAGTCAGGAAAAGTAAAAGCAGTTTTGGATAAAAGAGCTTTGTTAGATACATTTTTAAGTTATCAAAACTATCAAGGCAAAAGAAAGGGGATAATTCTGTTATAAAGTCTTATGAGAATTCGGTCACTACAGAACCGTTCATTTTTACTCCCAGGTGGATCGAGTCCGAGAAAGACTGTCAGAACAACAGTACAACAGGCTTGTGGACTACATCACCAAGACATCTTGCCACTTGGCCCCCAGCTGCTCGTCCACGCAGACACCGTCATGCCCTGTGGTGCCTGTGGAACCTCTCCCCTCCAACGTGAAAACATACCATTACATGGTCGACCCGCACTTTGCTCAGGTCTTCATTAGTAAGTTCACCATGGTGAAAAACAAAGCCCTGAGGAAGGGGTTCCCGTGAGTCCCCTCATCTGAGGTACCAGTTCCTGCTTATGCAGCATCTTTTTTAATAAGAAACCGAAATAGCTCTATGGACACAAGGCCAGCACCTTTCTACAGTAACTTTTTGGCCTCTTCTAAAATTAATTCAGATTCCTCCTCCCTAAAACTAAGATACTTGAATAAAATGGAGTGAAAAACCTTTTTCCATTTGGGGACAGTTGACTAACAGAATCCTGTGGGCTGCAATCTTACCACAGTTGAAAATACATTCCTGTTTGCTCTATATTTGCTACAGTTTTTACTATAATGAGGATCTATTAACACTCAGCTAATGTAAAAGATGGTCAGGCCTTAGAATGGAGAGACATTAAAACTTCATTTCTAATGACATTGTCTTTGCTGAATACCTTGATCTGCAAAAGTTTGGACTCTTTAAATGAAATTAAATATTTAGGGTTTTATTGTTTAACTTGTTAAATCTGTTACTTGTAGGTGCTGGTATTCTTTAAGTGAAAGCTGCTGTGTATATTCCTTAAAGTCTGCATTTTATTGAATTTACCAAACATTCTGATGCCTGTCCAGGTACATTCTGGAAAAATGTTTTTCTATTTTGTTTCACTAGTCAGAGTAATTCTTGTGTCTACTGATAAAAACAGACCTGGAGTGCTCAAGTGAGTCTCTTTAGTCTTAGAAACAAAACACTACTGGGACATTCCCTTGTGGAAAGGGTGTAGCTGAAGGATTCATACTTGCCTGCTATGCTGGAGGGGAGTCAAGAACCCCAACATCAACCTTAACAATGAACCAGACCAAATATTTTCTTTTGCTTTTAACAACAGGTTTGGCTCAAGATCCTGGGTCACCAGATATCATTTTAGTATTTGGTAAATATCTCAACTCTGATGAAACATGTTTTTATTGATTACGTATTAACTTGGGCCTACAACCTGTTACCTATCATTGTGAGACACTAAAGAAAATTCAATTTCAATTGTCCACTAATTTTTAACTGAAGTCTCACCTGTTATGTATAGGCATCATAAGTCACTGCATAGTTGTTTCTGGAAAGCAAGTTTGTTAATGGACAATTCAGACTGACTATGAAAAAATGGTTCCTCCATTAGTTTGTTGTACCATACTCATTTAGGAAAGTGAGTTTGGTCAGTTAACCTCAAGAGTAACTATTTTTAAGAATGTAGATATACATTAATTCTTTTATGATAATTTTGAATACTACTAAGATTTGTTATATAAAATTATTTAAAATAAAAGGAAACCTTGAATTAATGACCACACAATGTGTGTTGTCACTGGGTATTTTGTTTTTTAAATGCATGTTTTCACTGATACCTGATATAATTCAGCTCATATTTTTAAGACACAAAAATTCTAAGTTAAGGCCCTGGCCAGGTAGCTCAGTTGGTCCCTGTCTCTTGTAACAGCCCGCAGTATAATAGTCATGTTTGCTTAAATCAATGACCCAGGACTAAGAAACTGTACTTAGCAGCATATCTCAATGAAATGGGCAAAACATCAATAATTAAAAATGTCCTAAAATAATGAAATTTAATACTGAAATTATCTTAAAGTTCATAAACAGTTAAAAATCCCTAACCAATTCTGATGCAAGTGCCCAAAATGACATCATTAAGAATAACTGAACAAACACTTACTGTCCACAGTATTTCATTGTTTATTTATCAAGATAAACTATTCCTTAGCTCAAATATTCATGTTTCATAGTTCAGGAACACAGGTCAGTGACAAACTTCCGTGGAATTCAACCCAAAGAAATTCTGTGGAGAAGAACACAGTTGCTAAGTTAATATCCAGCATTCTCAATCTCTCTCAGTATCTTACCACCCTGAGATCACATAAGGTCTGTCCCTACTAGTAGCCCACGCTTTGCTCACTCACCTTAAGCCCAAGAGAAGCCCAGTTCAAGCTCCCTGAGCTCACGGTCCTATCTCCACCAAACGCCCTGACCAGCTTCCTTTCCATTTCAAGAATTACAACACCCTATTTCTGGATTCTTGCTTTCACTTTCCAAACTGGTTTTTTCCCTTCTCTAAATCCCCCTGTCCCCATTCCCTTCTCATACCCACAAACTCTTCTTAAAAGCAGCAGCCCATCTGTTCTAAACAATTTCTATTTCTGTCTCCAAATTTGTTTTTCTTAATGGCTTTTAAACACAATTAACTTCTTATATAAAAAGGTAAAAATCTAATATTTGAAATCATCCTGTTAACATCTAACCATGAAATGAATACCCACTGAGTAAAATTTGAAAATGTCAGTTATAAGAAAATAGCAATATTAAGATTAAGACTCTATACAGAACCATTAACATTTTCTTGACCTTTTCACCTTCAGTGATTTTGTGTAATTTACTTAACATTCCTAATTTTCTATCTTAAAATAATCTATCCATGTTTGTGAATCATTTTTTCTAAAGGGCCTCATCAATTTTCCAACAATTGGAAATAAAGTTCTCTGTACTTTTTCTAAGTAATTCTACGGCTAATTAGTCCATGCATCTATCTGCATTTCAGATACTACTTAAGCAGCTATGGAAACAGATTATGGAACTGAGTCTTATATTGGGCAAAAGATATGTAAATGTCAAGTCTTTCAGAAAAGTGATCTGAAGTCCAATGTAGTAGGTCTCCCCCATACCCCAGACCTTGGGAAAGATAGATATATGGCATTTGGAATGCTCATTCAGGTACAG